TTCAAGTTATTGTTCTATACGGAAGTTCTAGGTTCGATACTTAGGCCAGCTTGATGCCAAGCAGACATAAGTTTAGAATATATATAGATCGCAATTTGTTTCACAGTGAAAATGGTCTTTAAACTCAATAAAATAAGTCATCACTATTAAAATTTCTAATAATACATTTATAAAATAGAATTAGAGCAACCATTGGTCTGCCATCTATAAAGCCATGTCATTAAGAAGTAATCACAATTGCTCATAGGACTCGTTAAGTTTTGATTGCTGCTAATATAATAACAAAAAGATATGTTGCTGTAATAATTTTATTCTTAGGGGAAAACAACGAAATAAAATAACCTTTATGTATTAAAGTAATATTAAATTTGAATATATTTTTATCCATTTTTCGGCTGAATTGATATATAATGTATACGACATTAGGACATGAGTAATACTCATTAGGTCAATCTTTTTTTTGGAAATAGTTTTTAATAATTTTCATGCATAATTATATACTAATTGTAAGTAATAATTAACACGATTAATAACTATATTTATCTATTACTTTAATTGATTTTTGCTCAATTATATGAAATGGATCTTAGATTAAAGCGGTGTTAATGATACAGTATATAATTACCTTGCGTTTTAATTAGTGTAAGCTAATGATAGCTCATTATCAACGAGTCTAGTAAAACGCGTTTAAAGAAAGACGATGGAATCTTAGTTTACTATAGTAAATTTATAAATTCTTTTTTTTTTCATTTTAAAACTGTTTATTAAAATATAAACAATTTACTAAAATCTAATATTATTCAAATTTTAGTACAAGTTTTTAATTTTAATGTAATGTAAGATAATATTCGTATTATGAATAAAAATTTAATCTTAAAATTACATCGGCATTTACCTAGATATAGAGGTATAGGTATAGAGCTGTACATTGTATACTTTGGTTGTATGATATTTTTTTGTTTTTACTAATTGTAATAAATATTTGTTATTAAAATTCGTTAATTGTTTAGCTATTAATATCTAATATTGATTTACGCCAAAAGTGTGTATCTTTTACCTTTAAAAGTAATGCCTCCGTTATTAAAATCAAATAAAATGGGAAATCTTTCCGTTGAATTGTACATTACATAAAAAATTTAATAAATCATTTATGTACTTAATGACCGGTCAAAAATGTTAGTATTGGGTAGTATGATAGATGTATCAACTAATTGTAGTCATAAATGAGAAATGGTAAACCAGTTTCACTCATTTTTTTAAATTTTTACTTTCAGAACGTTGGACGGATATAAAATACTGGGCTATCCTATGCGCATAGAAAACAAGAAATATATGAGGAATGCATTTTTATTTAATATATGCCTGGTTTTTATAGAAGATGCACACACCGTTCGTTATGAACCTCTTCTCAAGAAACTATCGGAGTATTTGGTTAGTACTAAGCATGGAAACTCATGAATTAAATAAATATAACAAAACAATAGGCAAAAGTAAAGTATTATTACTTATATTTAATATTGTAATAAAAAAAATGTATGCATTCTGTAATAAGGTGACCATACTTCCCGGTTTGGCCGGCACAGTCCCGGATTTCCATCATGTGTCCCGGGTTTTTCTAAAAGCAATATTAGTCCCGGTTTTCCGAAAATTGATGTTAATAAAAATTATGATAGCAATCAAAAGTGCTAATTTTTTAAATTAATTATAAAGAAAATTGAATAGAATTTTATGCAAGGCTAAATGCAAAAAAATTAATTAATAAAAAAATATTCATATAAAAAACTTTTTTTATTGTATCCTTATATAGCATTTGTTATTTAAAACACATTGATATTGATATTTGAGTACTTATGTCCACCGGATTAAATAATATAGATGCTGTATTAGATGAACGAACCAGAAGATAATTTATAGTTTATGGTCTGACTGATCGCAAAATTATTAAAAATTATTTGTGTAATCACTACATTTAGTGAATGATGTCGTTTCCTCATCTCGTTTATTTACTTTCATAAAATTTCTAAATTAATATTTTTTTAATTAGAAAAATTAAAAACAATTTTTTGTAATCATTTCTATTATGAATAAGATTAAGGCTTGCTTAAATGCTTAATTTCGGTTATTTAATGCACCTGATTATTATCTTTATACAAAATTCATATATGTTTTTAATGAAATTATTGTCATGATTATATTTTATTTGATAATTATATTTTCAGCATTTATACCTTTTTATCTATGATTTTCAGTTAGCCCGTGAAGTCGATTTTGGTTTCTTATCTCAGCCCTCATCCCGTGAAGGCGATGACAAATCGGTTCAATTTAAATCACCATGTGTTAGGTTCAAATCAGATCTAACTATTCAAAGTGTACACGTTCAAACGAACTATGAGAGGCTTGTATCTATTATGGATCAAGTGAAAAGAGATATTAATGCTGAAAACATGTGCATTATTACAGGTAAGAGAAAAAAATCGAAACAAATATATCATAATTATTATTGTTTAATATGCTAGATCTGCATACTATCTTATTTCTAACTATTAACTTTATTCAATTATAATTTATAGATGGTCCGATATCTCTCCATTTGACAGTGGTTGATGAAATGCGGGATCCTGCACCAGTATTGGATCATCATGTACCAGTTCTGACAGGTTTAGAAGAAGCTTTTAACCAAGAACAATGGGATCTCACAACTCACCAAATTTTACCTCATATAGACGGTTATACACATGTATTAAAGATTGCTTGCAAAGCAGAAGTTCATCCGGATCTAGTCAAAGATTGTATACAAAACTTGGTGAGCTTAACTCAATGTAATATATGCAATATTACATCCTACTATTCTAGTAATAAATATGTTTGATTGCTTAATAGGTATGCTACAAAGTAGTGATGATTATACCTCTATTCCAATATTGCAGTGTATACACACCAACTCGAAAATTACAAAAATTAGCTTCTGATAGAGAACTCCAAATCAAATGCATAGAGTTTTGTTCAAAATCTGGTAAGATCAAATTTTGCATTTAGAAGTTGTGTATAAAATATATTATTATAAAACAAACAAAAAAGTTGATACTAAAAAAATTATCGATATATTAATTACTAGAGATATTACTTACTAATATTAAACGTTGATCATTATAAGTAAAAATAAGAAACGACACAATCTATTAATTATTGATTGGGAAAACCATTAAAATATAATTTTAGATTAAAATAATCTCATTTTATTTAGCTCGGCAGCCAGCGACTGTTTCAGATCTATATAGAACTTATGCAGCTATGGGTCATGGAGTTTCCTTAAGAGATCTTTTCTCTCGAATGAGTCCTAATGCCATGAGAATATGTGAAAGAAGTCTAGTCAGGTTCGGGGTAGTTCAAGGTTTAATACGAAAAATCGACAAGGTACACTTTATGATATTATATTCGATTTTACATTTTCAATAATTTTCTGATTTATTTGAAACATTTAGGATAGCTAAATATTGTCTTTAGGTCTTCAATATTATAAATAAATAATTTTATTTAAAGATGTTAAAAATACCCTTGAATTTCAATTCCATAAGATCGCTTATATCAGAGAAAGTCAATCGGCTGCATGCATCTATAATCATGGTTATATAAATGACCAAATTTAAATATGTATATGAAAATTAATAGAAATATTCAAAGTGAACTAAAAGAATATATATTTTTAATCCAAAGATTTTAACTAATAAGTATCTGATATTATTTAATAGCTTTATGCTTATCCTAATATTCAATTTTTACTCTGAACTTATTATGAAAAATTGTCACTTATATTTGTTTTTCTAACATTCTATACCCAAACATAACTGATTCATTATTATCAATATTTCAGTATCCCATTACGATTCAGTCTAAAGGTAAGCCAACTTATACGGGTCATTACACAATGGAAGAAATTTGCTGTCGTTCTTGCATAAATAATAGTCAACTTGAAGCAGAATTGGAAGCTGATCAAGAAACTTTAGTTATTTGTAGGTAACCAATAAATTATGATGAATCCATTTGATTTGAATTTTTATAATCTCACGTTTGTTTTATAAATTTAATTTTGCCAGATAAGTATGTGCATGATATAAATTCTTATTAATGCAATTAAAAATTGTCAGAGTTTATATAAATGACTAGAAAATTCTGTTTTAAAATCTATTTAGATTACAATCTATAGTTTGTTTTTAATTTTCAATATTTTTTTTATAAAATTGTAATTAATAATTATAATATTTGTGCATAGTCATGGAATAAGAAGTGTAAAGTAGGTATCCTGTTACTCAGGGATGCTGAATAAGTGTTCAATTTTATAAAACTTTTTTATTATTAATTTTAATATAAATATTATATGGTTGTGAGCTTTAATTATATTTTATATTCAAAGTCGGTGTGTATTATGCATATAATAGGTACATACTTTAAAATTATAGCTTTCTTGTAAAGTAAAAGTAAAGATACACATCACATCTGATTTTAGATGTTACATAAAAGGTGTTATGATTAGATTGTTTTTCTTAGCATCGAATGAAAATTTATATTTTATAAAGTATTGATATATATATTATAACATGTATAACAAAGATGCGAATGTTACAGTGTGCAATATTAATATATGTGAAATTCGAAGTACCAAACTGAGCTAAAAATTCATTTAATAATTTGTAGATACAAAGCATCAAATGTTTATTGGAGCCGTTTTCACAATTTGAATTAAATCTCAAATATGCGAATAATTATCTTGTAGAATCAATATGTTTATGAAATTATATATTTTTGTTACTTGATTAAATAACATCTTATTTACTACACATTCACCAATGAATTATGTAATGAATTTTGCACATAATCAAGTTATTTCTTTTACGTCTACTAGTCTATATACATCAGAGATATATACATAAAAATATATTTTAAATATTACATAAATTTATATAAATATAATAATTTAATCTTAATATATTAATTGTTTAGTCTTAAACTTACAATTAGTTATCTTACTTGTCATATACCATTATTATTGTTGTTAAGTAAATATAACTGTATCTATTGTAGAACCTAATAAGTGAGAGATCTCTTTATTAATTTTGGCCATATGCTAATATTGACTGCATAGCAGCCATAGTAAGCGTCCAATATTCCATAATGGCAACTGCTACAAATCAATAAGCAGAAATAGATGTATACGTTTACTTTGATATTTGTTTCTTTTTTAATTTAGTTCAGATCACAATTCATTCAACATATTGTCTAAATCATCTACTGTGGAAACTTCTTGGGAAACAATCGATTCCGAAGCCTTGTTCACAGAATTTTGTTTTGAATTTCTTCCAATACATGGTGGATGATCATAATGCCCTAGTTCTGCTTGATATAAAATGTTATTGATATGATATTTCACTGTGCTTTTTGCATATGAGGTTTTTAGATTGCGTATACCACATGCTATACTTTCTCCAAAAATATCATATTCGTCTCTAGACATTTTGTTATAAAGTTTTCTTAAGAGGTTGCATGAATTTAAATCATCAGATTTTGTTAATTTATCTAAATAATTTTTATTATTAACTGGCTCACAAACTTGCACTTCTTTGCTTAACATTTCTTCAATTTTCTTTCCATTCATATCATTACTTGTAGTAGCAACTTGCAATTCTTTTTGAGAATTTTCTGCTATATTGTAACAATTATTCCTTTTTTCTGCACTTGGATAAAATATGCTTTCATTATTGTTTAATCGCTCGTTTAATGTTTCTGACGACACATATTTGTAATTCTTGGAATTAATATTTAAATTTGATTTTTTTGTTAACTCTAATTTGCTAGGAGTGACTGTGTTTCGTTTATTGTTGAATTCATCATCTTTGTATGATTCATCAGTTGATTCATTTGACTGAAAACATATAAATATAAATACAATTGAAAAATGATATTTTTTTACAGGGTGATCTGTAATCACCCCATATATAAAAAATAAGATAATATTACCTCCAATGATCTATTTTGTAGATTGATTCTGGGCCTATTTCTAGTCTCTAAAAATGCAAATAGTTTAAAAGCAAACCATTGTGACTCATTTCCATTAATTCGTCTCATTCTTTCTTCCATTTGATATCTGCTTATCAAGCTCCAAATTTTAGTTTCTACTTCATGCTTGGTCATATTCAATGCATTAGCAATGTCTTGCCATGCTTGCGGTTTTATTTGCTTATTTACATAATTCCAATCAGAAGGATCCCACAATTCTCTTTTATCCTTGAACAAATTTATTAATACACAGATTTGATCATTGGTCCATTCAAGATCTGCAGCATTTCTAAATCACATAAAAATCTCATTAACAAATTTAATATTCTATTCAGATATTACATAATGAATTACGTAATGATATTACATAATAAGTAATGCAAATACATAATACTTTATTAAAAATTAAAAATTTATATATCATATGATTTATCAAAAACTTCGACTTTTAAATAATGTTTGCATTGGTTTGTAATACTAAAGTTTAACTAAAATATTTCTAATTTGTAATTAAAAGAACAATGAAGGAGTGGCAACTGTTAATCTCGATTTACCATTAAAATATTTGCTTGATATAATAGAATTTCAAAATAGTTACCTATTTTGCGCTTCATGTTCCTTCATATGTTCCACGTGATCTAAAAGCCTTATAAATTGTTTATGGCATATATGGCAGTTGTACTCATAATAAGCAGCATGTTTTGCTGCATGCTGCTTAAGACTGACTTCTTGTGTATAAGTTTTATCACAAATCTGACACTTGAACAATGGTACATTGGATGAATGTATTTTAACATGTCTCTGCAAATGTGTTAATCGAACAAAACTTCTATGACAATATTCACATTCGTAAGGCCTCTCAGCCGTTTCTACAATATCACTGTTATTTTTAATACTATCTGGGGTGTGAGTAAGTTGATGTTTCTTTAAATTTATTTCTGTAGCAAAGTATTTTTTGCAAACTTCGCATTGCCAAAGCTGAATAGTATTATGAAATTGAGACTGATGTCTTTTTAGAGAACTAGAATGTATAAAGCTCTTATTGCAAGTGTTACACTTATATTCTGATTTTTCACTTGAGGTAGCTGTATTTTCATACAATAAACTTTCATCAGCATCTTCTGTGTTTTCATCAGTATCGACTTCTTCTTTAATGTTCACTTCTGTATTATCAACTAAGTTTACACAATAGTATAAATTTGAATTAATTTGTGCTTCTTTCTCCATAATTTCAATACTTCAATTTGGAGTGCGTTGTTATTGCAATTAACCTTACTAACCTTTATAAAACCATTTCGACAGGATAACTATAATATTTCAAATATGATTTTGAACTATTATAAGTTATAATAAATATAACTTAATAAATAAAAATAAAATAAATAAATAATATTATTCTTATTATGAATTTATTACGAAAAAGTCTTTGAAGTCACTTGTTGACTGCACTATATATTTGTATAGGTTGTTGACATTTGAAGACACGTCAAAAATATGTTATAGTTGCTCCATCTTTGTATAACGTAAGTAATGCATTATTTATAAATAAACTATACATTTGAAGACTTATACATTTAAAATTAATTATAAAAAATAAGCAATTAATTAATTTCTCTTATTTTTTTTGCGTTATTGTCAATCAAAATAATATACATTTTTTAAGACAATATTATCATAGATAAACAAGTATAAATATGATGTTGGTGTTAATGCATTTAAGAGATTATCTCCTATGAGATATCTCTCTTTTTTTTATTTTTGACATTTTATTTAACCCTCCGTCGGGCGCAGTCCCGTTACGCACACGCTCGGGCGCAGTGTATCCGACAGCAACGGTTTTTAAGTATATCCTCAGGAGGCTCCTTATTTTATAAACATGTTTATTTTTTGTTTAATTATATTTCAGAATGTATACTTTTTGAATAAATAAATAAAAAAAGAATTCAATAATATTTTATTATAAAATATAGAAAAATATAAACCTGTGTATATATGCACAAATTATTTACACTCACTTTTCTTTATTGAAATACACAGTCTCTAACTTTTTTTCATTTGTCACTTTATAAAAAATAAGTAATATAATAATGATAGTTTATTGTGTATAGTTAAATATTATCATTTATTGAAGCATTTGAACAAGCACTGCATAGAAAATCGCATGTTGTAAATACAGTGCTTTTCGACATTTAGCACAACAAAATCTCGAAAACCGTCTAATATTAGCTTCTAATGTACATGGTTCACATCGCCGTTTTTTTGTGGCTCTTCTTGTTATTGTGAGCCATTTTCCTGTGAATTTGGTCTGAATCTTTTGAGTCCTGCCTGCAAAGTGAACGGAATCCCACTCGTGATTTCACTTCTTCTTGTTAGCTGTCCAAGAACAAGTTCATGCGATAATTGTCTCAAAAAATATCTTCTTCGGAGATCTTTCTTACCATTCCCATGACCCCAACATTCTATAGGCGTTGCAGCATTTTTTGCGTTTTCTATGACACCTGGTAAATGTCTTAAGTTCTGGGATTTTGTTCGAATCCTATTAGAGGGAGGTTTGCTACACCACTTTGTAGATTTATGTCTACTCATAAAATATTCAGCATTATTGTTCAAATTTATTTGTTCCTCACTTTCATCCTGTTCGTCCTCTTGTTCTGTCTCAGAATCGACTTCGCGACTCTCTAGATGGTCTTCGTCACTTCCACTTTCATCGCCTAAATCGTCAAGAAGATTATTTTCATCAGCATCATCATTCAGCATTCTTAGAATCTCTTCTGCATAAGCTGGTTTTTCTAAATTATACATTTTTTTTTACCATTCACCATATTTACTAGCCTATAAAATGTATGGACTCAAGTTCGTAACACATTCGGGCGCAGCGAATCTCGTAGATACTTTCAAAAAATTACAATTAAATGAAAAGTATTGAGATATATATTCAAAAATACGTAAAAAATACAGAAAAAGAATACTTACATTCACAAAAAATTGCAATATTCGTACGTATCAAAATGTTGCATGTTCGGGCGCAGTGTATCTCTAGGATTAAAATACCGATTGCCACTATATGTGAAGGTCAAACACAAAATGATAAAGACGCATAAATAAAACATATAAAATTAGGAGGCTATTGAAGAGTGGAGGTTTCTATAACATTCAACCAAGGCGCAGCATGAAAATTTATTGGCTCTGTATCTGTCAGATCGGCTGCGCCCGACGAAGGGTTAAGATCGTACGGCCATTTTTTTTTCAATCTTCGTGTGGGATATTCCTCGCTCAATTCTTTTAATTATTTGTTAAGGTGACCTGGTAGTTTTTCGTGGTATTTTTTGCTCCTTTCTTTTATCATCTCATTAATAGTTTTTATTTTTAGGTCTTTATGTAGGATGTCATTTGTAACATATCAGGGTGCGTTCACAAGGCATCTTAAAATTTTTGATTGCGCTACTTGTATTTTTTTATATTTGAATTGCTTGCGCACGCCCATAGCTCAATGCCGTATGTCCAGATTAAGATATAATTATTGTTTTATATATAATTTGTATCAAATTCTCTTAAATTGATACAAGTGTGCAAAATTCAAAGAATTTGTGTTTACATGAATACCTTATTCATGTTTCAATATTCTTTTCCGAATTTTTAAAATTTATTTTTATTATTTTATAAAACTTAATATTATTATTTTTTAAAACTTATTACTTATATTGCAGATACGAATTCATACCAATGCGCCAAAAAAGAAATTAAACATATACTAAAATCAGTTTCTTTACTGACTTTTTTTTATTTTGATTTTTTAAAGTGTCGCAACCTACTACTTTATATTTTTAGCTTTCATACTAAAAACGTTATATGTTTTTAACTTTTAATTTAATAATTATCTTACATTGTAGACAATTTTTAAGTTGAAATGACTGATAAGTAAGATAATTATTAAATTAAAAGTTAAAAACATATAGCGTTTTTAGTATAAAAACTATGTATATATAAACTTTAGTATATATAAAAAGCAAAACGGAGATATTGTTATTATTGATGAATTTTTAAAATTAATACTAAAGCTAATGTAATTAATTGCATATTCATTTTCTAAATAAGTTACAAAAAATTATAAAAAAAAATATTTAAGGTTAGTTAATAATTAATTAAACGTTAATTAAGAATTTATACCGTTTTCTATAAATTTTTTAGACAAAAAGATCAGTTAAGAAGTATATCAGATGTTCTTGGAAGTTATACATGAATGCATTAAAAATATGTTTTATAAATGAAAATTTTAAAATCTCGATGTTACAAATGGCATTGTGCTGGTTTCAGTAAATTGTTTCACGCCCCTGGAATCAATCATAGGGGATCAAGCCGAATGTTTAATGGCACCACGTTTCAGTTCAGTGTAGTTTCCCGCAGTGTGACAGTGAGTTGGCTTCATAAATATAAATGCAAGTTGTTTGTCAAAATATATAGTGTAAAACAATAAATTCTTTGCTAACCAACATGTCGGAGACAATCACAGTCACTGAAGCTCCTAGTAAGTTATAATTTATCATATTATGCTTGAAATTATATGCCAGTCTCATATGCCGGTTTTTTTCTTGACGTTGACTTATATACTGAAAATACCTACCTATCCAATAATAAAATTGTTGTACTATTAGCTGTATTCAACTACAAACCGACTGAAATAAATAAATTAATAATTGTAAGTGAGGATTAAATAAAATGACGCAGTGAATCCATTTGATTGACAATGAAAGAGTAGCAAATACTCTAAAAATGATCATTTTTGTTTTGTTGAACTTTTTTCAAAATAAACAAAAATGTTCATAGTAGCTTAATATGTAATAGTTTTAATATATAATAGTTTAGCATTGTTTTAATAATTACTGCACGTGGCACAAAAGACTAATTCTTCTTTCTACTATATGATAAAAAAAAAATATTTAAAATAACATAATTTGAAAACACATCATTTACATAATTCAAATTCAATTTGTGCAATTGTGTTTGTCTTAAGCACACTCATATTGCATAAAATTGAGTGACGTATATGCAAAGATTCGTATACTAAACATATCACGTAAACTAAACTAATTATCGTGAATATATTAATAATTTTCCAACAAATAGTGACCTTAAGACATATGCTATGGTATCATAAACGTCAAGTCATTTTCATATTGAATGGTCTATAAATTATATATTATGTAAATCAGGACGAAAATTGAAAAATAACTAGCACGCATCGTGTCTAAGGCAAATTGCTGGAACTTCCCGTACCGTAATTAAAAATCTTGGTACGGAACCCAAAAAAATTTACACAAAATGTATACACATTATTAAAATCTCTAAAAATATCTCATAATTTGATGTACATATGTCCAATAAACATTTTTAACTTATTTTTATTGAGAGTCTATAACCGCTGGACCTGCCTTCCCAAAAATCTGTTCTTTATCTTGTCACTACAAGTAAAATGTCCTTTGAATTATTAAAATCGGACGCTCCGTTCTCTTAAAAACTGAGTTACCGTTTTTGGCACTTTTTGCCCCGTATCTTTGGAACGGCTAGACCTGCCTTCGCCAAAAACTAATCAGCACGTCTCCTTATCAATAGGAATCGAATGCTTTTTGAATTATTTAAATCGGTTGATCGGTGTTCCCGAAATCGTGGACGAAAATTTGTATCCAAAATATTCAGAAACCTTTGAAACGTAAAGATATATAAAAATTTTCATTTTCGATTTTTTGCGATTACTATAACTTACTCTAAGGGAAGTTAATAGGAAAGTTGACGAGCCGTTTTTTTATAAACTATGAACAAAATAATCAGATTAGAATATTGCAAAGCACAAAAAAATTCTATTTAATTGTAAATGTAAAGCATTTAAAAATTCACAAAATTTGAATATTATGAAAAAGTCATGATCAATACCCACTTAGTAGTACTCAATACACAATATAAGAAGCAATGCGTGGCCATGTATCAAATTCTTGTTTTCTAAATAATAATATAGTCTGATAAATATTTATAATTCCGATGCATAAAAATGAAAAATACTGTTATTTTTAATTTTTTTTAAATTAGTACAGAACGCTATGTTAAAAATGAACAGAAATGTTAAAGAATTGCCTCAGACTTCGGAAAGAATCGGACAATATGTTTTTTCAAGAATGTGAATTCATTTTGCATACTTTTTATTGAACAAGCAAATAATTTATAATTTTCCAGTTATATATATACATATATATATATATATATATATATATATATATATACAGTTTATTCTTATTTTGCAAATAGCTATAGCAAATAAAATGTGCTATTGGTATTTTAATAAAGTCGTCTCGTCATTGAACAAGTTCAATGTTATAACAGGATGAGATAACTAGAGTAATATTGATGTTATTTGGTCATGCAATAAATTCGACACTTCAAAAAGTGTTTTAGAAATGAATATAACTTATTTAAAAATATGAATATTTGATATGGTTTTTTACTGAGAATTTTAAACATTTTACTTAATAAGTTTAAAAGAAAAACACGTATTTTCAGGCTTCTGTACAAATTCGAGTTCACCAAAATAAATGCACCAAAATAAATTGTTTATACTATTTTCAGCATTCATGTCAGAGAATTTTTATTTATATAATATTTAAATACGTGGATTAGAGAACCATTTTAATTCCTCTCTGTTATTCAAAAGTTTCAGTCCATATTCTTGGTTGTCTTTGATTATTAATTTCAAACTGAACCATTATAACGGAATTCAGTTACTTGATTCAATAGCAAAAGTTGAGTTCTAGTAGAAAGCTTATTTTGTGTCTCAAAAAAGTTATCGACACTATACTCGTCATTTGAACTTCACAAGTGAAGAACATAAATAGATTATTTCGTGTCATTGTCAAATTGACAAAAATAACCGACTGGTTCTATCTAGTTATAGCACGCCAAGACTTTTATTTGTCTTACAAGTTAGCTGATAATAGTTTGCATAATAAATTAATATTTTGCTTTAACATTTACTGATAGAGATGTTCATTTCTTAAAATATCTCAATTACAATTATTTATATTAAAATTCAATATTTGATCTTTCCAGATATGTTATTTTCATTGCCACCAAATAATATAAATATTTTGTATTTTCGCAAAAGACTTGTATAAAGTCTGATGCCTTTGATGAGTTTGAAAATTATATTTTATTACTCGAAGATTTTACACTTTATTTATTCATAATAAATATATAAAAGAATATACTTGGAGAGTAAATCTCAAAATAATCACTTTTCTTAGCGGTATAAGTTATCACTCAATTAATGCAAAAAACATCCTTTTCCACGAACTTGAATTTTAAAGAAAATTCGAAGATGAAAATGAAATTAACATGATATTTTGGATTGATTTGTCATATGAACTGCAACAAGTATATAATGATTTTTTCTCTTATTGTTAGATAACATATAGTTTGGGTTTTAATGCTTATTGCAATTATGTTAAATTTTACTCATTTCAATTTTGTTATAATTTAACAGCAATCAGAACATTACAGCCATATAAGCTGCTGTGCTAAATTGACTTAATATTAGCCTGTTCGACAAGTGGCAACCCAAACAGTTTCTGTTATAACTTACTCTATTGCAATTTCCGTAATAGGGCGAGCATTTTTATTGGTACAGCAATGCCGGGTGTGGGCTATTTCTACTTGGAAACATATTGCTATCCATATTTCCAGGTGAAAACCGTTTCACTACTGCTTGACAACAGGCATCTCGAATGGAATCGAACCCGGGACCTCTGGTTAAGGTCCACGCGTTCTAGCCGCTTACCGACGAGAGAATTCGCAATTACAATAAAAAAAAAGGTTTTATTGAACTAACTTTGAGCCAATTTTATATAATAATTCTTGATAAGAAATATGTCAACATCTAGGATTCCTATTTATAGTTTAACAAAAATCGAAGTAATATGCTAAACAGAAGTATGAGTAAATATTTTTTGCTGTTTCTTGCTATACTGCCACCTGAAGAGAAATCGCAAATGCATGCATCGTTCTCTTTGAATTTAACTTTTGTTCCGATTTCAAGATCAGCCAGAAGCGATTCAATTTTGTCGATGTCATTTTTGTCTTGATTAGATATTGTCCTCGACGGATATGGTATTGGACAATGGCAGATTCCATTTCGCCACTTTCCTAAGGATTTATTATGGCTATTATTTAATTACTACATTATTAGTAATTCTAAAAGCTTAGAATTCAATCAAATATCATAATTAATAAATAACCATTATAATTAATAAGTTTTATAACTTTATGAAATTTTACTAATTGTCTTCTCCAAACTAACGTTTAATTTCAAACCTTTGCGCTGAAGTGCATTTTTTGTAATAGAAAGGCGCATTTCAAATGAGAAAATTACAAGTGTATCAAGTTGATACTATCAATTCAAGTTATTAATTTTATTCGAGCATTCACCGCATCTACATAGATTTTTTTGTCAAGTAATGAACATCATATCTACAAAATCACTCGCTGAATTTTAACAGTTAATATCATTTTTCATCAAATATGATGCGGTGTTGAAATTCTTAGAATAGTTATTTTTTATAAGCATACTTCAATTTTATCGGACCAACATTCGGTTATATAATGAATATGTGAAATTACCGTGAATGATATTTGCATCAAGTTGGATCATATTCGAATTTCAACTCTTAGAGATTCCTCCTTCTCTTCAGGAATGATATTTATCACTACCCAATCATTGCCGATTGGAATTTCAAGACTTTCTTCATTTTCATTAGGAATTCCATGAATGTTTCGATCAAAAACTGTATAGAAAATTAAAATATAAATTTTAATGATTATTTATCCAAACTTATTAAACATTTGTCTTCATTTTTAATTATTACACGATTTTATTTATATTATATTGTTGAAGAAAACAATTTATTTAATGAGTTTTAGTGAACACTTACTTGTTTTAATGATCTGGTTTGTCATTATACTTATATTATCTTTGTTTTTGAATAATTTTTTTCCAAAGTCTTTATTTGCCAATATCCCCAAAATACTATTGTTTTTTGCTCCGCTTAATAAACTTCTCGTAACTTCCTTTGATGGATATTGCTTAGGTTTTACCTGCAGATCTGGTTCTAATATTTCCGAACTTATATCATCATAATACAGCATGTCGTCATCTGAATAATGCATGTCGTTTGCATCAATCGGCAGCAGTGGATATTCCACATCATAAATGTTTTCATCTGCATAAGCAAAAGTTATTGATAATGAATAAGAATAATGAACAAAAAACAATTATTGATAAGAGTATATCAGATTTTTAAAAGTAAATCTGCACATCCAAAATAACGAGTCAATAATAATTCCAAATCGGCAAAATCATAAAATTGATGATCAAATTTAGTTTTATAAAATTGATTGAGACTATCAATGATATAGACAATCAATAAGTTAAAACTTATTGGCAGTGCAAATTGACAAATGTAAGTCAATGATGTGAAGATATTAACTTCCCAAAGGAGAAATTTATGTTTTCATCAAAAAATCCGGTTCGCTAATTTTATGTTTTCTCGACATTTCAAATCATTCTGAATTGAATGAGACCAAATTTGGAAAAAGTATGTGTGTGTGTGTATGTGAACAGATTTTTTGCCGTAAATCGACGTTTTCTCGAAAACGGCTGGGCCGATTTCAAAAATCTAAAAGCCATTCGATGCATCTAGGCGAGGACTATCGTTTGTCAGTTTTGTGGGACGATCAGCCTAGACGTTTCTTTATAAATAGCAAAAAATCGTCCACGTTTTAGCCCGCAATTCTGAACCGATTACGAAAATTCAAAAACCGTTCGAAAGATATTGATTTGGAATCGTGCTGATTAGTTTTTGGTCGAAAGATCGGTCGGGCCGTTTTCTTGTAATAAAGTGTTAAAAAAATTTTTTTCGACGATTTTTATTATTATTTTTTTGACGATAGATACTATAGTCTTCTAGATCATACTAAAATATTACGGCCCAACGACAATTGGTTTAACTTTGAAAATTCGTCAAAGTTTGCAAAAATTGGTATCGTTTTTTTAGCATTGGTCAAAATTAGACCTTTCATCGACGTTTTCTCAAAAACGCCTGAACCGATTTCAGAATTTTAAAAGCCATTTGATGTATTTCATGGTCTTATAGAACTTACTGTAATATTACAGCCTTACGACAAGTAGTTTAATTTTAAAAATTCATCAAAGTTTGAGAAAATGAGTAGTTTTTTTTGACGTTAGCTAAAATTAAAATTAGACAATTGGTATAACAATATAGTACTTGGTCTTAATAAACATACTAAATCATTAAAATTCTACGGAAACTGGTTCAAATATAATAATTGTTGATTTTTGAAAAGTTGCTTTTTGAAAATACTCCGAGTTAACGTGTTCGTTCGTTTTCAATTATGTGTAATGAATCCACTCATGATTTAATTTATTTTTTATTGATTAAGTCGATTATTTACACATATCGGGAAGTTCATGTAACTTGCCTCAAGGCTAAATATAACCAACCAATACCAACTAGTTAAATTTTGTTCTCGACCAACTTGTGATAACGCTGAACGATTTATTTAACACTACACAAATAATTTTTTTTGTTGATTATTCATAGAGTAGAAGATGTATGTTTGTACTGGAGGAACAATACTAATTAACTACTAGCAATAATAGTTTATATTGAATACTAATGCTCTTATATGTGCACAATATTGTTTTGCTTAAAATACATATTTTACCTATTTCTTCAGAATCAGTTTCTTCTAGAAATATTTCAAAATTGCATACAAATCTCTCTCCTAAGGATTCGAAATCGTCAACAAAAAACTTTCCTGAAGCACATCCAACACTTATGGCATCGCTGTTTGTTAGAACAGAGATACAATATTGGTCCACGCTGTTATTTTTTAGCAATTCATAGTATTGCCCAAATTTATGATTTTCATCTAATGTTGCATATAAGTTGTTCCAAGTATTTCCAAACATTAAACTAAATAGAGCAGTAGTAACCGGTAAGGGTTTCGAGGTGGTTGGTCCCTTCGCCATCTTCAACATAGAACATTGCGCTATTTCTGATTCCGGAGATGTAGATAACAAACGACATTCTTCATCTGATTGGGAGCTACAATATAAATATTTTTTCTTTGTTTTGAACACTTTAAGCCAAAACTATTAGATCAACTTTATTATACCACTGGGTTACCCTCTAGAGAAATGTATATCTAGGTTAAAGATATACATCAGAATAACAGCTTATCTGAATGGTGCTACGATTGCTGTTCATATAATAACTTTTTTTTAATACTTACAATAAGATCTCAATTTACTTTCAAATCTTTTTGGCTTATCTACACGACAAACTAATATAATGTGAAGCAAATCAAAATAGCATATTAAAAAGCACGTTTGAAGAGTGAAATTATTTTATAATCTGTTTTCATTTTTTTTCTAATTGTTACGAGCTTTGAAGTTTTTTAAAATATACAAACCACTATCAATTTGCTGAAAAACGTGATTAAAATATGGTATAAAACTTTTAGTCCAGTCATTATAGTAATAAGTTCACCTCGGAATTCTGGATACCCAGCTGTAAGTCTGTAAATACTTGTATATTGACACCTAAAAGTTGTCTCAAAACCTACATATGTTGCGTACACCCTACCATATGTGGGTTTTGAGACAACTTTAGGATGTCAATATACAATTATTTACAGACTTACAGCTGGGTATCTTGAATTCGAGATTCTTATCTAATTTAAGCTTAAATAACTGGACTATTTCATAATAACATACGATAATTTATACATACTTCCAATCATCCGTATTGAAACATTGTTCAATCATACTTTGCGCCATGCTGGCTAGTTCATCATTCCATGTTAAATCTTCTGTTATAATAGAACTGTTCCAACTTGTATCAATCAATTTCTCTCGCCACTAATAAAAATTATATTCAAGTTTCTGCATGAGTCTTATAAAAATTACATAATCGAAAACCCTTTGAAAAACTATTCAAATGTTTATAAATTTAAAAATAACAGAAAAAATATAACAAGTTTTGAAGCATATATTAGGATAAAAAATGTTTTGGTTAAAATTAGTCAAAGAACCCAGAATTATCGTTCTAGAAATAGTCAAATTTATTAAGTTTGATTTGGTGGCGGGAATAGCTCAGTCAGTAGCATACCCGACTTATATGCCATTAATACTCGATTCGAATTCTTGTGGTGACATACAATTGTCATTTAATTTAAATAAGAATAAAATTAAAAATAAGAAGAAAAAACAAGATTTGCGTAAAGAAGTTAAGATGTAAAAAAAGAAGAATGAAGAATTCACTGTTGTGAATGAGCAAATACAGGATACTAATAAAAAATGTATAGAATATAAAAAAATAAAATTTTGGTGGCTAAATGTTGTAAGTAAGCGCGAAGCCAATAAAAAAAGTCTGATTTGAGGAACGATAAGTTTAAAATTTGTTTTCATTAATTATTATATCTTTTTATAATATTCAATCATTGTATTTAATAATTCGATTATAAATTTTGTTATATTTTTATATTTAGATAAATTGTTAAAAAAAGAAGAAAATGATTCAAAGTATTGTGAGAGAAAATATAAAGATATGCTAGTTTTTAAAAAGTATAATATTTTAATATTTAATTTGTGTTTTGAGATTTCTATTTTTTGGAAATTTTAAAGCATTTTCTGCAAATTTCCTCGCTAGAGACCAGTTAAAATCATGATAATGAATATACAATTTATGGTAATCAATTTTAAATATTTAACTATACTTTTTTTAAATCTGTAAATTAAGAATAAAACTTCAATATAAAAAATGTCACTAATTCGAAAATGATTTATTAAAAAGTATCTACTTTTAGATATGGAATTAACCTTGTTCATTTCGCGCAATAGTTCATTCTTATAATTTTCGTCCAACTGACTAGATGTGAATTCTTTACAATTTTTACTTGGTCCGTTATTATACTTGCAAAGAGTGTGATATTGTTCACCATTTTCCGATTGGCATTTTATAGAACAATAGTCAAAAGAGATGTCGCAATCCGATATTTTACAAAATATAACAAATAAATAAAATGCCATTAATTTCATTTTTGATAATCATATTTGAAATTTTATCAAACTGTCAAAAATACTGTAACAAATGACAAATATTTAATAATTGAGTTCCAATCATATAACTCACATTAAATGGCCATCTCAAAAGTTCAAATATTAGCCAGATAAGCATTGAATTATATCTGTTTATTATTGGTTTGTAATAATTATAAAATCAGACGGAGTAAGTCAACAAATTTGTAAATCAGTATTTTTGATAAGTATTTGCTTAGTATTTGATTATAAAAACTGATTTTTAATCGTCGGGTATTATCTGTATAATACCACTTTATCTATATTTTTCAGCATAAACGATTTTTTTCAAATCCAATTAATTTCTACAAAAATATGAGATTAATGATAGTAATTCTGACGCACATTAAAATCATCTGACCGGCAATAATTAACATAAATTGTGAAAAATTAATTAGAAATGTTAAAACTATTATCACTAATCAATTCAAACTAACTACAAATCGATTTGAAATTATAAATTAACTAGCAAACCCGACCAACTCCGTTTCGCCACCAGATGATTTTGTGAGAAAGATAAAGAATTTTTTTGTTTGTTTTATATTTGAAAAAGAAAAATTTGATTTTATTATACAACAGTAATGAATTTATTTCGATTACAAAAATGTAGTGTTTTTTAGTTGAACTTCTCTAAGTAAATGAAAGTGAATCCGCAAATTATCCGTTTCATTGAAGTGCTCTTTGGTAAACCACATTTTTTGTTTTTTGGTCTGATGTTAACACAAACAAAGCGGATGGTTTTCTAACTCGTGAACAGGCAACGTAATAACTGCCCATGTGAAAAACAATGATTTTCTAAATAATCTATTTGAAATTTATCCCGCAAACACTAAGCGATTGGCCTTGCGACTTGGAAATTGCAAGGCAAACTGGAAAATGCAATCGTTTGAAGTCAAAGGGAAGACCAGTCGGAATCACTGGTATGTCACCAAATCGCCAGCAATTTTTGATTGAGTGGTGAAATTCAGTGCGTGTACATCATTATTCTTTGCGGAAAGATTTGCTCGATGACTTGACCAAGCATAATTCTCACTAATGTCATTACTCGAATTTTTAATTACGGTGCGTGAAGTTCCAGCAATTTGCATTAAGGCACGATGCCATGCACCACTAACTTTCTTAGCTATAAACCTTGCGGAGCCCGAGACCTTTCCAACGAATGCAAAATTGTCGAAATCGGTTCGTGCGTTCTGGAGTTATTTCGTCAGGAAGGAAAACCCGACTTATTTTTATATATATAGAAGATAGTATTCATTCAATGTTATTTATTGTTATGGTTCCAATAATTTATCCCTGCCCACCGTATAGGAGCAAATACAACCATATCCTCCAGTCCAAGTGGATTCCGGCGGCAACCTGCGGGATTTGAGACCAGAGCTATACATGTAGGCCAGGAACCCGAGCAATGGCGTTCTATGGCTTTGGTTCCACCGATCACCATGTCTACAACTTTTAAGCAAGATGCTCCGGCTGAATTTTCCGTAAGTCGAAATAGGATAAGATTTCTTATTCGTTTTCTTTCTTATAAACTACACATTTTTAATTTTACGCAATTTATTAAAAGGGATATTTTTATCAACGAAACAGATTTCGACGTTTTGCCATTTCCTTTCTACCAAAACCTAATGCTCTGTGGTCATGTTTGAAAAATTCATTATTGAAGGAAAATCTATTAGTGGTTGATACCGACCAGCGGATTTTATTGTACAAGTTATCGTTTCGTATTGGATTTTTATTAAAGTGATGGAAAATAATATACAACTAAAACATGTTATGAGCTATTTTGTTTTGTTACAAACTTTAGTAAATTATTATGCTCAAGTAAATTGTAAATCAAGCAGCAGTCACTCGATTAAGGGATTCTCCAATACAGCTCGGATCTCCGTTGATTTGACAGAAAAAATTGTAGAAACAACGAACAATTTATAATGTTTGAATATTATGGGGATTTTCGTTTAGCCATAAACAGTGCTGGATTTACAGTAGGGGCAGTCGGGGCTACTGCCCAGGGCGGCAAATTTTCGGGGGCGGCAAAATTTGGATAATGAGAAAAAAATTCTATACCATATAATTAACTCAATTTTGTAATAACATTTTTTATTTCAAGAAATATAATTAACAAAACATTATACAAATGCAATGCAAAATTTGGCAATTTGGCTAATATAAAGATTCGTAAATGAGTTGTAAGTTACTGAAATTTCCCGTACTAAAAATTACATTTTATAAAAGCTTTAAATTTTTTTGAAAAATGGTAAAAATTGAATTTAAAAAATCTTTTTTTTATATTTCGAATTTTTTTGAAAATTATTAACTTTTATTTATTAAATTTATTAAAATTAAATTTTATTTGAATGATTCAATTCCTAATGATAACGAAACGTGCTGATTAGTTATTGGCCAAGCCTGGTCCACTGTTTCGAAAACACGGGCCAAAATACCAAAAATAATAATTCAGTTTTTGAGAAACGGAACGTCCAATACCATTAGAAGAAATTTACATGTATAGACAAAATTGAGAACTGATTAAATTTGTGACCCAATAACAAAATTGAAAGTGAAACATTTGGCAGTCAGAAGTGATCATTACACATATGCACATCAAATTATCAGATATTTTAATAATAAGTATAAATTTTGTTTACATTTGTATGGGTTTTGTAACATTATTTATTCTGCAACGCGGCGCTTGCGCGCTTTTTTATTTTGTCTCTACACAGCTAAAGCAGGACGATCGCTTTGAAAAAAAGTTTTTTTTTTTTAATTTTAATTTTTGGTACGGGTAGTTCCAGCAATTTGCCTTAGCGCACGATGCCAAGCACCACTATTTATAGTATGTAATGCGTAATAAATTTTCTGCAATGAAATAGTTATTTTAAGTGTAGAAAAATGATAAATAAATACTATTTTAAGTAAAAATTCAGGGATGGCTCGGCATTTTTGTCAGTGCCGCAGGGCGCCAAATTTCTAAATCCGGCCCTGGCCATAATACACCATCAAGCTTAACAAATAACTATTATTTATAGCATATTATTTTCCAGAATTACGTTCTTCAACGCTATTAGTTATAGTTATGTAATATATTCAGCTATTTGTTTTATAATTGCGATGTTATTGCATGTTGTTGAGCAATTTTACAATGTGATTATCAAAAGAAATTTAGTGACAAATTTAGTATAACCTGAGAAAATTTAAAGATCAATAATTAAATCAATAAACAAGCTTTGGAATTTCTCATTGAACAAATCATTTCTTTAACATTTGTTATGCACTTTATGTTAAGGGATACGAATACGGCCGCTCAGACAACCCAACTCGTGGTGTACTTGAAAGATGTCTTGCTAACCTAGATGGAGGAAAGCACGGGATGTGCTTCTCCAGTGGATTGGGTGCCACGACGGCTATTATTTCCATGATGAGCGCTGGTGATCACTTGATATCCGCCGATGATGTATATGGAGGTACCAACAGATTTTTCTCGTAAGTGCTAAAAACAAGATCACATACAATTTTATATGTATTAATGTATAGATTGAAACCAGTTAATCCATTCCTTCAAATATTATAGAAGTTTTGAAATATAGAAATATTGAACATTTCAATGTAATATATGACAAAAAAATAATTTCTCTTCTCAGCAAGGTAGCTAAGCGAATGGGTATAGAATTGGACTTTGTAGACGCTACTAATCCAGAAAATGTCCGCAAAGCTATTAAGAAGAATACAAAAGTATATTAAATAGGAGTATTCAACAAACTTGTAATGTATCTAGCCTAACAATCAAAAACAATTATTTTTTAGATGGTGTGGATAGAATCTCCCACAAACCCCTTATTAAAAGTAATCGACATCCGGGCTGTTTCAGATGTTGTGCATGAGGATCCTGATGTAAGATTTTGTTTGCTTTAAGATTTTAACTAAAAATTTATTTTTTAAATTTGTTTTGCAGATTATAGTCGTGGTGGATAATACTTTTCTTTCATCTTATTTGCAAAGACCTTTAGAACTGGGTGCCGATATTGTCATGTATTCTCTCACAAAATATATGAATGGACATTCAGATGTTATTATGGGCGCCGCCATCACAATTAGAGATGATTTACATCAACGACTTCGATTTTTACAAAATTGTAAATTGCTTTCTCAAAATTCTATTAATAATTATAAAAAAAATACTTCAGATTTTCTGTGAATTAAATATATATCATGATAGAATTAATATTTTTCAGCAATGGGTATAGTACCCTCACCATTTGACTGTTCTCAAGTCAACAGATCGTTGAAAACATTAGCCCTCAGAATGGAAAGGCATAGTTCAAACAGTTTAGCTGTAGCAAAGTTTTTGGAAGGTCATAAGCATGTTGCAAAAGTACTACATCCAGGTGAAATATCATAATACTTTATTTCTATACCGTTTTTTTATAATTTAGATTTTATCTATGAAAAATAGTTTATTTATAAAAATTCTTTTGGGCTAAGCTTCAAACAAGAAATCTAATTGTTTTTTTTTAAGTTCAAAAACTTTATCAAATACATATTTTGACTAATGATTTTTTATATTTTGAATGTTGAACCAACTTGGTAGCTTTCAATTGCCTGTTTGATTTCGAACAAAATTCATATGTGCCGTTTCTTCGTAATCAGCGAACGCAAGTTTTATTTTTCAGATAATATTATTAGTTTTAATGAAATTTACCGTTGTGAAGAAACTATTATACTTATAAGACTAATTTCATACGATTGTTGAAAAAATAATTTTCTTTGTATCAACGCTTTTTTAAAAAAACTTCAGTTAAATTACGGCATGCAGCTCTACTCTCAGATTCTTAATTAGAAACAAATTTCAGGTTTGCCATCGCACCCTCAGCATAAAACTGCCCTCAAGCAATGCTATGGACATAGTGGCATTATGACATTCTTTTTAAAAGGCAATTTGGAAAATGCTAAAAGATTTTTCAAACCTTTACAAGTTTTCACTTTGGCCGAAAGTTTGGGAGGATATGAAAGTTTAGCCGAACTTCCGTAAGTCTTGATTTGAGATTATTAACTCCTAAATTTTCTAACTAATGACTTTAATTTTGAATAAAAGCTATCGAAATATTTGAAATTTGCTTAGTTTAATTATATAATATGTGTGATGTTATGGCAATATAATGTTAAAATCTTTTAAAGTTTTATTTAAAATCATAATATTAAACTATGATCACTTTCTGTTATGTAAAGATCAATAGTTAGAAGTTTATGATTATTCAGTTTCAGTATTCTGAATGAATATAGTTTAGCCAAGTTGAATGTAATACCCGAAAGTTGTGTCTCATACAATATCAAACATTCAAAATTATATATTCACTTATTGCATAAATAAAAATTAACATTTATTGCCCATGTAAAAATTAGCAAGTATAGTGAACATGTTCAACGTGCGAATTCATTATTTGCATTATTACAGATCCATAATGACTCATGCTTCAGTACCAGTTGAACAAAGAGAACAACTTGGCATAACAGACAGTCTTATAAGACTCTCAGTAGGCTTGGAATCTGTGGATGACCTTATAAAAGATCTCGATAATGCCTTGAATTATGCTTTTGAATAAAATAAAAATGTATAAAACTTTTATAATTTATAAAAAATAATGTTTTATAGTTGTTTTTTAAATAAAATACATTTATAATTAAAGTAATGTACCTAATGGGCATTATATAATGTTAAATAATATTTTTAATTCTTTAGTTTTTTTATATTGAATTAGATTAATGCTTGTATGTGTGCACTAGGCATTAAAACATGCTAAGAATTTGACATGCTGGCTAACAATTCAGCCTGCATGAAGTTGCCGCCGAAGAGAGATTTCAATTATTTCAGATGTCAAAAGCCATATTGTTACTTTTTATCACAGCGATTCGTCGCCGTATTGCTTTTTTGTCAAGAAAACTTGTTTTATATTTAATATTAATAGTTTTGTTTTGCTCTTTATTATAATTCATTCTTTTTATCTCCATTCCAGTTTATTAGTTTTGGCTTTTTTTATTTCACGGCAATTTATTTCTTATTTATATATTTATATATTTACATTTTAGTGCTGCTAACTATACGCACGTTTATTTTACTTACAATAATATATTATAAAATTCATGACTACAAGTTACTAGCTAAAGCCTCAATATGAATAAAGCTGAACTCAATAATGAGGTATGTAATAAATAAATTTATAATCATCAATTATTATTATTAATTTTTTATTTTATTTCTAGATTGTCCTCATGAGAAAAACAGCACGACAAGCAAAAGTTCATATTATAAGAAAGCTCGTTCGAGAGATTCGTATATTGACAGAAAAGACAAAGCCCGAAGGTGGTGATAAATTTAAAGCCAAAGCTGATAGCCTTTATGAGGAACTTACTATTATAAAGGTATATATATATATATATATATATATATATATATCTTATATATAAAAATGGAGCTCTCTTTCGAATGTCCGAATAAAACTCGAAAACGGCTGAATCGATTTGGCCAGTCTTAGTCTTGAAAAATTCGTGCCAATCCAGAGAATGTCCAAAAGGTGAGAAATTATATCAAATCCGCGTAGAAACTTTACATTTATAATTTGAAAATTTTTGTAGAAGCGTAATTTAAATAGAACAATGGACGGTGGCAATTTCGTGAAATGTCAAACGCTTTTGACAGATGATGTTCAATTACGTTTAATAGGATGTTTTACGCGAATATTATTTATTTGTGATAAATTTGTAGTAAGTAGTTTTGTTTGTAGTTTTATTTATATACAAAAACGTTAGTAAACGGGCCCCAAGTGTTACTAGAGACTCAAAATATAAACTTTTTCGATATGTTAATATGAAAATGCATTTTTGGCATATTTTTCTCAAACACGGTGCTCTGAAAGATCTTATTTGTATAATTATATGCTCATTGGTATTTATAAAACATTTTCTAGGTTGTTATATTATTTTTTATTTATGTTATTTAAATTCAGAACCTAAATTTGGTATCGATCAAATGGACCTTTTGTCGAATAACATTTTTCCAGTTATAATTTTCCAGAATTTATCGCAGAATAGATAGTAATATATGAAGGTCCGGGGTTAAAAAAGCCAACCACCGATTTGTCAAAAATCAGTAAAGTTAAGCATTGTTTAACAACAATATTTGAAAGTAGAGGAAAAAAGATTTATAGCCAGCTACAAGCTTGATTTGAAAACAGTAATCTTTTCCAGTTATAATTTCCCAGAATTTATCGCAGAATAGATAGTAATATATGATGGTCCGGGGTTAAAAAGGCCAACCACCGATTTGTCAAAAATCAGTAAAGTTAAGCATTGTTTAACAACAATATTTGAAAGTACAGGAAAAAAAGATTTATAGCCAGCTACAAGCTTGATTTGAAAACGGTAATCTTTGAAATGGGGGAGATAAACGGTAATCTTTGAGAATCCATAATAAAAGTATTTTCTTCCGTTGGTAGTTTTTAAGCATTAGTTAAAAATGTAATTATTTTGTAAAATACCTTTAAAACTATAATAAGGCTTTAAATCTTTTTGCCACCTGCCCGTTTCAAGTTTGCCGGGTATATATATATATATATATATATATATATATATATATATATATATATATATATATATATATATATATATATATATTATGTTAAATGTTAAATATGAACAATACAACACTCCGGATTTTAACACACACTTTATTCGGTTATAGAACATATAGGAGTTCTGATGCTGTTCAAACAATAAAAAAAAATTATCCGGAATTCGGATTATCCGGACTTTCGATTATCCGGACTTTCGATTATCCGGAATTCGGATTATCCGGAATTCGGATTATCCGGAATTCGGATTATCCGGAATTCGGATTATCCGGAATTCGGATTATCCGGAATTCGGATTATCCGGAATTCGGATTATCCGGAATTCGGATTATCCGGAATTCGGATTATCCGGAATTCGGATTATCCGGAATTCCGATTATCCGGAATTCCGATTATCCGGAATTCCGATTATCCGGAATTCCGATTATCCGGAATTCCGATTATCCGGAATTCCGATTATCCGGAATTCGATTATCCGGAATTCCGATTATCCGGAATTCGATTATCCGGAATTCGGATTATCCGGAATTCGGATTATCCGGAATTCGGATTATCCGGAATTCGGATTATCCGGAATTCGGATTATCCGGAATTCGGATTATCCGGAATTCGATTATCCGGAATTCCGATTATCCGGAATTCGATTATCCGGAATTCGGATTATCCGGAATTCGGATTATCCGGAATTCGGATTATCCGGAATTCGGATTATCCGGAATTCGGATTATCCGGAATTCCGATTATCCGGAATTCGATTATCCGGAATTCCGATTATCCGGAATTCCGATTATCCGGAATTCCGATTATCCGGAATTCCGATTATCCGGAATTCCGATTATCCGGAATTCCGATTATCCGGAATTCCGATTATCCGGAATTCCGATTATCCGGAATTCCGATTATCCGGAATTCGGATTATCCGGAATTCGGATTATCCGGAATTCGGATTATCCGGAATTCGGATTATCCGGAATTCGGATTATCCGGAATTCGGATTATCCGGAATTCGGATTATCCGGAATTCGGATTATCCGGAATTCGGATTATCCGGAATTCGATTATCCGGAATTCGGATTATCCGGAATTCGGATTATCCGGAATTCGGATTATCCGGAATTCGGATTATCCGGAATTCGATTATCCGGAATTCGGATTATCCGGAATTCGGATTATCCGGAATTCGGATTATCCGGAATTCGGATTATCCGGAATTCGGATTATCCGGAATTCGGATTATCCGGAATTCGGATTATCCGGAATTCGGATTATCCGGAATTCGGATTATCCGGAATTCGGATTATCCGGAATTCGGATTATCCGGAATTCGGATTATCCGGAATTCGGATTATCCGGAATTCGGATTATCCGGAATTCGGATTATCCGGAATTCCGATTATCCGGAATTCCAATTATATGGAATTCGGATTATCCGGAATTCCGATTATCCGGAATTCCGATTATCCGGAATTCGGATTATCCGGAATTCCGATTATCCGGAATTCCGATTATCCGGAATTCGGATTATCCGGAATTCCGATTATCCGGAATTCGGATTATCCGGAATTCGGATTATCCGGAATTCGGATTATCCGGAATTCGGATTATCCGGAATTCGGATTATCCGGAATTCGGATTATCCGGAATTCGGATTATCCGGAATTCGGATTATCCGGAATTCGGATTATCCGGAATTCGGATTATCCGGAATTCGGATTATCCGGAATTCGGATTATTCGGAATTCGGATTATCCGGAATTCCGATTATCCGCAATTCCGATTACCCGGAATTCCGATTACCCGGAATTCCGATTACCCGGAATTCCGATTATCCGGAATTCGGATTATCCGGAATTCGGATTATCCGGAATTCGTATTATCCGGAATTCGGATTATCCGGAATTCCGATTATCCGGAATTCGATTATCCGGAATTCCGATTATCCGGAATTCCGATTATCCGGAATTCCGATTATCCGGAATTCGGATTATCCGGAATTCGGATTATCCGGAATTCCGATTATCCGGAATTCCGATTATATGGAATTCGATTATTCGGAATTCCGATTATCCGGAATTCCGATTATCCGGAATTCGATTATGAATTCGGATTATCCGGAATTCGATTATCCGGAATTCGGATTATCCGGAATTCGATTATCCGGAATTCCGATTATCCGGAATTCGGATTATCCGGAATTCGGATTATCCGGAATTCGGATTATCCGGAATTCGGATTATCCGGAATTCGGATTATCCGGAATTCGGATTATCCGGAATTCGGATTATCCGGAATTCGGATTATCCGGAATTCGGATTATCCGGAATTCGGATTATCCGGAATTCGGATTATCCGGAATTCGGATTATCCGGAATTCGGATTATCCGGACTTCGGATTATCCGGACTTCGGATTATCCGGACTTCGGATTATCCGGACTTCGGATTATCCGGACTTCGGATTATCCGGACTTCGGATTATCCGGACTTCGGATTATCCGGACTTCGGATTATCGGACTTCGGATTATCCGGACTTCGGATTTCCGGACTTCGGATTATCCGGACTTCGGATATCCGGACTTCGGATTATCCGGACTTCGGATTATCCGGACTTCGGATTATCCGGACCTCGGATTATCCGGACTTTCGATTATCCGGACCTCGGATTATCCGGACTTCGATTATCCGGACTTCGGATTATCCGGACTTCGGATTATCCGGACTTCGGATTATCCGGACTTCGGATTATCCGGACTTCGGATTATCCGGACTTCGGATTATCCGGACTTCGGATTATCCGGACTTCGGATTATCCGGACTTCGGATTATCCGGACTTCGGATTATCCGGACTTCGGATTATCCGGACTTCGGATTATTCGGACTTCGGATTATCCGGACTTCGTATTATCCGGACTTCGGATTATCCGGAACCAATGGGGTTTATTGTTTTTATAATACTTCATTGTATATAGCATTCA